TTACACAATGTACAATCAATCGATTCACGAACTATACCAATAGGTCCATGAATTATTATCGTGACAACAAATTGACTAAGATCAAGATCTAGAACTATAATAATATTTTAGACCTATAAAATAGTTTGTGTTTGAAATAGACGTAAAAATCTCTCTAAAAACTTTGTTTTATACATGTATTTAAAAAATTAATACAAAAAATAAATTGAGAAAGCTACACAGATTTTACAAACAGCTTTGCAGTTTCAAAAATCTGTACTAAACGCTACAATGTTAATATGAAAGACTTAAGAAATGATTTGTAAAACCTGAGCAGTATACAGGGCCTAGGACAGGTGTAATCTAGGCACCTGGTCCCACCTCTGGAATTCCCAGGGGTCCGTGTTTTATTTCCTGCTATTTTTTTTATTGTTTGTAGATTTTTGTGATTTTTGTGTTATCGATCACTGTTCGTTATTTTCTCGTTGTAATGAAGAAGGAATATTTACCTAAATGTGATTTCACCCGTGATTAACTCTCCACCATTCCGTGATGTTCATTATCACAATTTTTATTTTTTTTACTGGATTAAAGAGTTTGATCAGAGTTATTTACACCATTTCATTTGAATAGGGTGTTCTTAGACGCTGTTGCATCGACATGTCATGGTAATTTGATTACGACATACATGCTCTCCTTTCGTATCTTCGTATAGTCTAAAAATATATCCTTCTTTTGAACTTTGAACACAACTGTTTGTCAGTATAAAATTTTACAACAGTTCACCTACAGTTAAATGAACACATCAATCAACTTTCAAAAAGACATTCATATATCAATAAATACTTAATATTAATTCTTATTTTTAGTATTTTTCCCTTTTTAGAATGCCCTGAAGGATATTCTGGCTATAATTGTAAGGACATGTGTAACATTAACTGTGGAGTCTCTGGTAGATGTAACAGTGTGACAGGGGAATGTCAAGATGGATGTCACGAAGGATGGGAGGACCTTAAATGTGACAAAAGTAAGCATTTGGTATACAAAATGTAATAGATAAAACACTCGATGTCATTTTTCAGAAAGTTAAATAAATAACCAAACATGAAATTTGTCAATAATAATTATGGATTATTGCTGCAGGGATCATTTGAAATTGACAAAAATCTGAGAACATTGCTAGAAAGAATACTTATACATATATATAAATAGATATATCTCATTTTTTTATATTTCTGTTATTTTTTATCATGAAAAACCAATAATCATTTTTTATGTACATGAACTTTCCTGTAGAACAAACAATTTTTTTTTAAAATGAGCACAAATGGTTATTTTTTTTTTTCATTATCACTTAATATAAAAATGTAATAAATAAAATTTTAAAGGCAATATCTAGGTATCAATCTAACATTTTTAATAGAATGTGATGGAGGAAGTTTTGGACTGAACTGTACTCAGTCATGTGGTATTCGAAATTGCTTTAGAAATAAACAATGTCATCACATTAATGGGACATGCTTGAATGGCTGCAATAAAGGTTACCAAGGAGACACTTGTACACGAGGTGACGTATACATAAAATCCCTTCATAAATACTGTAGATTATATTTGTACGATTATTGCTAAACAAATTAAGTGAGCATCCCCTGCTGACCGGCCACACCCGCCGTGTGCTTCTTGTCTTGTATAAACTCATGGTGACAAAGATAAGCTGCTGCATAAGTAAGGGAAGTTAACGATTGAATTTTTTTTAATCAATTATTTACAACAATACTGAAAGGCATAAATTTACATATATGTGTTTTGTGCTGGAATATATCATCAATATTAAATGGTCACTCATTCAAACATCGATTAAAATTTAAAAAAAATAAATAGTAAATTACATTATATAAAAAATTGTTTTATGGGGGGGGTCATTATTTTAATAAGATGAAAGATCATCACACCCAGTAGACTTTTTTGACATATACTCCTCCCAGTCGAACGATGGATTTTAATAGAACATCGTAATTCCATTGTTTACCCCAAAATAAATGCACTTTTCAATGTGTACTTAGAATGCAATTAAAAAAAATTCCAAATGTGATCGTAGGTTTTAACATTTTTACTGAAATTTTTATGTTATCCGACGTATTTCAAACTTTGCGATATACAGAAATTAGGGTTTATATGTATACAATGGAGTTTGTCAATTTAACCTGAGAGTATAATAAATAGAATTGATCTTGCCTGCACTTACGCACCAAAAAAAAAAAATGAAAAAAAAGATGAACATTTTTTACATATACTGTACAATACGTTTAAAGCAATTCTGATTATAAAGATTTGACGCTTTAACTAATTGTGTTTTAAGCATACTGATATGCTAACGAAAATATCCCATTACGTATACGTATATATCAAGGCAAAGCAAGGCAATACTTAATAAGTATGTTTTACTGTATAAGTCATTGTGATTTATTTTGATTAATTTTACCAGTGTGCCCAAACAGAAGGTATGGATACAACTGCGAAGAAACCTGTACCAACTGTAGAATTGTCAGGAGATGTGATACAATATCAGGGAAATGTAACGGTATATATCCACAATACATTATTGTCATGAAAATTGTATAGAGCAACCGAATTTGATTTTGTGTACTAGGTCTTGAAAATACTCTGAATACAATGATGTATTCTTAAAGTATCAGTCACATTATCCAGCGATGGGGTATACAGTGAGAAACCGATTCGATTTTTGATAAAAATGGCGTGGTTGCCGGCCGAAAACTTAGTAATCGGACGGTAACAAGTCGGCGAATCGGTGGGGGTCATCGGTAGAAAATACACAAGTTCTAGTTAGACATCACCGATGTCCTACATCGCTCCTCATCGGCAATCCATCATTAACACATCTTTCAAGGATTGGCCGATGTATGAACGAGCATCATCAAGTGTCCGCTGAATCTGAGGTCATCAAGGGATTGAGTGGCGGGCAACAGACATCGGCCGATCATTGGTCGTTGTTCGACTAAACATTGGTTCGTAGTCGACCGACGTACAAACGAATGAGCGATGTAATATACATTACCCTGGAGCATCTTTTTATTATTAGCAATGCATCGCTGGCCCTTTGTAAGTTCGGCCGGCAACCACGCCATTATTACCAAATAACTTATTGGTTGCCTATCGTATACCCCATCGCTGGAAAATGTGACTGATACTTTAAGGACTACTTGGCCGATGTCGACCGATGTTGGTGCATCGCTCACACCACGGATTACTACCGATTACCACCGGTCTACGGCCAGCGGCCGGGAAATGTGACTAAAGCCTTAAGAGTACAAATTTCTCTTTTACATGTAGATATTAAAATTGCATTGTTTAATGCTGATGATGAAAAGGATATTGTCTAATGTTACATTGATAAATGCCCCAAGCCAGCTTGGGATAATACTTTATACTGTGTAACGTAAAACTGATTCCCACACAAAAAAAAGAAAACAAAACCGAAAAAAACAAACAAACAAAAAACAAAAAAAAAAAAACATAATGTACTTTTACACTCGTCTGGTCAGCAGATAACATTCTTGAATTTTTCATCTGCATAATAAAGTATTTTCTTGAATATTTTTTTATACTAGATAGATCGTTTTTTAAAGTTATGTTAAAGTTATAACGTTATGAGTATCTTGTACAATGAATTACTTATTTATAAATAACGAAAGCCTTACCAAAATCGATCAAATAACCCAGCATACATGTTATCTATGAAAAATAAATTGAAATACTTCAGCTCTTACTGTATTTGACTTTATATGTATGTAAATATTTCAAAAAATTAAAATAAATATATATTTTAACTTTAATCAAATAGTATTTTGATATAAAAGGATTTTGTTAACTTTGATTTTATTTTAACTTTTAAAATATACATGGTATATATATATTTTTTTAACTTTTGATATTTTTCGCAAGAGATAGATAATTTGTTTACTTATAACATATATATTATAGATAAAAGATTTATTAAAAAGGACTTAAGTTTAAATTACATTATTGTAGTGTTTAAAGGATCATTAGATTCTGATACAAGTGAAGAAAACCTTTTTTTTTGTGTACGGAATGATATCTTCTCTTTGCTCAAGTCTTGCCTTAAATGTCATTTTACTGATCTGGTGAGTTTTGTACATTCTCTTTCTTTAACTTCCTCACTAGTTGATGTCAAATATCCTTAAATCTCTTTTTCTTAATTAAAAAAATTAAAAGAAATAAGATATATTTTAGGAGCTGTAGAACGAAAACGCGCAAAGGACGGAATCACCAGGAGAAAAAAACTACACAGATACCTACAAATTTGAATACACAGATCCAAGTTGAAGAACGTGAAGTACATATATATGACTCTCTGAATCAAACAGAAATATCCACAGATCAAACAAATCGACAATCCATTTATGACCATTAACATCTGAGTTATGTTGCAGTATTTAATTATGAGCCTTATATACATTATATCTTCAATGTAAACACTTTATTTATACATATAAGTGCTTGTGTTGATTAAAACAAAGAAAGAAGAGAGCATCCAAATCTCAAATTACAAAGCTGTCTGGGTATCAATGTTCAAACTGTTGTTTATTGCTCGATATTTCTACTTTTTACTCAAAAAGAAAAATGAAGAATTATCATGATTATTTTTGCTAATATTATATGTTATTATTATATACAATTAATAGTTATCTCAATATTTTTCTCGTATCTCTTTCCAGTATAATAAAGAATCAGGGGCAGTAAGCATATATGAGCTGCCCAATATTTTTTAAAAAATTTTATACCAGTGCTATCCTTAAGTTGGTTTATTTTTCATATAACGAGATGTCCAGTTTGATGTAAATAGCAATAAAATTTTCAACATTTGATTTGTAGTTGAGTTATAACGATGTGAAGTTGTGTGATTTTTCCGGAATTGAGAAATTTCCATCAAATTCTCACATTCAAAACAAGATTTAGATATGGCCGCACGCAAACAACACGATAAAAATTTTATAGATTGTTTAAAATGGCACAATTAATTATTTCCCAAAGTATCATTCTGTTGTTTGCATGCGGCCACCATGAAAAATATATAAAACGATGTTTTTTGAGGCCGATTTTGATCGCTTCCGGTTTCGGTTTTTATATTCAGAAGTAAACAAAGTTGGAGGAAACAGAAAATGTGACAGTAGATTTATCGAAGTTCTAACCATTTAACAGGTAGGGATGAATTGAAAATCAGAGCAATTGTAATTTTACATGCACTGTTCAAAATTAAATCCCCTTCTATACTTATTAATGATAGAAGATTCGACATGACAGACTCCGCTAACTCCATGAACTCGGGGGGACGGTAATCATCACATGCATGTCAAACAGTTGAAAATAGAAAATGTGTATCTAAAATATATCAAACAGGAACACAACATGCTATCTTCTTTCAAAGAAAAAAAATAGATTATAAAAAAAATGACTTAATCATCGATATCATTCTTTTTGATTTAGACCCTAATATTCATGATTCACCCTCGATCGGCCTGTTGATCTGCATGATTAGCCGCGTTTTATCAGTTGTGAAAATCTTTACATATACGGCATTAACATATAAATATACTACATTTCTAGGTTGGTGTTTATAACATATTTTTCTGTCTGAGAACAAATACAACCGAGTCTAGCGTTTGTGTATTCAAGTTCAATTCAAGAGACCTTACCCTGGTACCTGTGTACTTTGTGTAAATGTATGGTGTGCTATAACAGTCAAAAATTAAAAAAAATGGTAAGAGTTTTTTTTTTTTGTTTTGTTTTTTTTTTTTGTTTTTTTTTTATGTTAAACCGTTAAAGAAATAAAAAAAAAATGTTTCTTAAAAATAAGCTAACATCACTAAATCTAATTAATGTTCTTTGCAGAATAAACAATATAAATTCTTTCTATTTTTCTTGTGGGAACAATGTATTTTTGTTGTTTTTTTTAACTTATTAATTAAAATATTATTAATGTAAAATTAAACTATTGCAAGTATTAAAAATACTTAAATAATTAAAAAAAAATGGAATAGTATAAATTCATGTAAATCACCATTTAAATGAAAAAGAAATGTTTGTCATTACAAGGTTCATCTTTTTAATTTTGTTTTAATTTAAAGTACCCAATAATGTCTTTGCCTCAGATTTTATTCATTAAACTCAAATAGGTAAATCAATAAAACTGCAATTTAAATTGATTTCATGAATGAAATAATTATATATTTTATTATATGATTGAATAATTTCCATCTCTCTGATTGGCTGATATCCAACTATGTTAGAAAAATACTACGTTGTATTGACCTGCACGTGACGTTCCAGGTCAATACAAGGATTTATTTCCTCTACATTGATCTAAAAATAGATTGGGAAATTCCAAATTGATACAAATTGTTTTGGAAAGCTATTTAAACGACTGTGATTTTTTCTCTATGTGAAAAAAACATAAGCGAATATATATTTTAGGGTGAAGATGGTAAGAGGGGATGCAGGGACCCCCGTCCAACACTTTTACTGAACATTTTTTTTTTTTTTTTTTTTTGTTTTTTTTTTTTTTTACTTTTTGGCAGTCAGTTTTCCCTGATAATAAATACTCCTTCCTTTCAAAATCAATCGTATAAAAAAGACTGACAATATATTTTTTTCATGGCAACTAAAATTGATTAAAAAAACATTTCAAATTGATACGACTGGTAAGGTTTATTCACATTTTAAATCTGTTTCTCTCTTGTATTGTATTTGGCTAAGACTTTATTAAATGCAAGTTAACAAGTAATGAGCTGCATCATTTTATCAGTGAATCATATAATAAAACAATTATTGCCGTTTTTTCGGTCAATACAATGATTTAGCCATCTTCGAAGTACAATATTCACCTCGCCCTTCGGGCTCGGTGAATATTGTACTCCTCAGATGGCTAAATCATTGTATTGACCTCAAAAAGCAGCAATAATTGTATAATACCTGGTGATATTAATAAATTATTCCCTTTTTCTCATATATAAAGAAAATCTTATGCAAATGTAGTGATGGAACGATTGTCGCCGACGATCGATTGTCGGTCGTTAGAAGCTCTTCGATGCTACTAATCGATTATAAAATAAATGTCGCCGACATCGCTAACAAAAAATAAAATTGTCATACTTTAATTTTATTACCAAATCCAAGTGCAAAGAGCATAAAAGTAGTGATGAAAGTTGAAAACATGGAAGGATTCCGTGTCTTGTTGATACTTTTACCGCCATGATTTTTGGGGTAAGACTAATACCAGGAAACGGTGATATTGCAAGGATTAACAATACAAAGGAAAACATAATTAGCCTAGTCAATCTTTAAACGTAATCATAATCAGAAATATGTTTTACATCTGGATAACTACTTTTAAAACTTGAAATTTTAACTAATTAAAACTAATTTTTAGAAATAAATACATATATTAAATTATAGGTAGGACTAATATCAGTAAAATACCCATTGCATGGACTTTCTAAAAAAATGAATTCCCATTCTGTTTCAATAGTCCAATATTGTTCAAAGTAAACAAAATATTATTTTCCACATTTTAAAAAAGAAATTTCCATTAATATTTTTGAATATTTTATGTAAGTAAATGATTTTTTGTAAAAGTCTGACAGAAATCTGAATAAGTTTTAACTTTTCTATATTAATTTCATTAGAGTTCAACATTTCGATTATAATCAATTATTAATCGATTATGCCCAGCCGATTATTACCGATAATCGATTCTGATTTTTTTCCGATTCCCCATCACTATGCAAATGTATATACACTGTACAAGTAACCCCCCTCATTCCATAGTTATAGACAAAATGTGCATAGTTACATAATATATAAAGTAATTTAATTTTGATATTTATATTTTAATTGTAGGATGCCTGGAGATGGTCCAAAACAATATCCTGTTACTGGAGCTGTTACTTGTTGGTATTGTCAGTGTCGTGCTGGAGCCAGAGTTGTCGGGGCATGTGCCCATGTGGCCTAAGTATTGTGGTTTCTTGGCTATGAAAGACGCACGAACTTTGCAGTAAGACCTATTCAAGACTGGGCTGACTACCTTGAGGATGCAGCTGTGCAACCTGCAGTAATGGATGGCTCAACAGAAAGTGAAATGAGTGCAACGGAAGAGTGACATGAATTGTGACATTGGATTATTGAGAGTGAACATTCTGCAGATTATAGGAGTCTCCATATGAATGAAAATTCTCAAGAGGGACGTTAAACAATATACAATCAATCAATCAATCCGCAGGTTATGATATCCACTGCATTAGACTTCCATTATTCTTTCAACAATATAGTGGAAGGCTGTGTATATATTGTTATTAATTAATTGTAAATAGGGATTTTTATGTATCTATGTTTTTTTTTAATGTTTAAATTGTGATTTCTTAACATCTGTTATATAATTGAGAAATTAAAATATAGTACATCCCAAAAACATATTAGATTCATTGCATGAGTTTAATAAGTTCGGTTGTAAATATTGAAAGATGAATTATGTACTTTGACAAATGAAATGATTTGTTATTATCATATGATTAATTGTTATCAAAATTAATATACTGATGTAAAATGCATAATGCATCACAAAATATTTCTCAGATAATAGTAACAATTATAGTTTATTATGCAATGTGTTTATTTGCATATTGAACTTTGTTAATAATTAACATGACTATATAATAGTACTTGTTATTTTTTGTAATACAATGTAATTACAAAACCTTTCCAGACAAACATGTACTAGAATAACTAATTCTTTGATGCTTAGGTCATTTTTATGACATTGTGAGGATGATAAACATTATCTTATTATGAGTAAATGTAGTGTTTAAGGCATGAGTGGTGTGATGTTAAACTTCTATCAATGATCTTTTTGGAAAAAGTATAGGTGGGTGATGGGAGTTCTGGAATTTGTTTATGCAAACTGAAATCCCTCATTGTTATTTTTGTCAAGTTTAATGAATTGTTATTAAAAATGTTAGTTGAATACATTTCTTGTTTGTTCACTTTGTGCATTCAATGTATTTTTATGTTAAATACATACAAGCAAATTCAAAGAATTGTGGTGCCCCGCTTTCGGTGTCTTTGTGAGTGAGATGTTATTTTTTATGACATATTGTGTCTAATATGAACACCCTATCATTTGTCATTTATTTAGAAATTATCATTGAAGTTGATTTTTTTGAAGGATGAAAACCCTAATCCTGACCGTTAAAAACTTATGGCCAAAGTGAAAGTTTTTAAAGTAGGTCAACTCCAAGGTCAAGATCAAAGGGTCAAAGTTGTTGGTATCCAATGAAAGGTCTTCTCACAAGGATTATGTATGTGAAGTATGAAAGTCCTTGCCATTACCGTTCAAAAGTTATGGTCAAGGTTAAAGTTTATTCATAAGTACGTAAATCTTTAAGGTCAAGGTCAAAGTTGTTGATATCCAATTAAAGCTCCTGCCACAAAGAATATATATGTGAAATATGAACGTCTTATTATCTATCGTTCAAAAGTTGTGACCAAAGTTAAAGTTTTTTAAAAGTAGTGAAAACTTCAATGTCAAGGTCA